AGAAGAACAGGGCAGAAGCCAGTTTCTCTGCCTCTCACTCCCTTTATGCCAGGGAACATTCCCAGGTCCCAGGTCTCACTGGGTTCTGGAAAGAAACAGCCCGGCCTGGTAGAGATCTGTGATCTAAGCAGTCTGGGAGGCTGAGGCAGGAGGATGGCAAGTTCCAGCTCAGCTTGGGGAACTCACTGTTTCCAAATAAAAATGGACTGGAAAAACCACGTAATCCCCAGGGAAGGACTGAAGGAAGGAAGGGAGGGAGGAAGGGCAGGCAGGTTGCCTCCCACAGGCTCTTCCTTTCCTTCCAGCACCTGTACAACCAGCTGTCCTCGGCCCAGGCTTCTGAGTGGGTCCCACATTCTGCCTTTGGGTCAGTGTGGTTTGTTTATCCAGGCCCTGGAGCGGTCACACTGATGGTGGAGGGCACGGTTCTCTCCTGGCCAGCTTCACGAGGGCCAGAGAGCAGGCAGACGGAGGAAGACCAGGTCTGTGTCTGGCTGTGTGAGGAGGCCACTGAGCCAGGGACCTGGAGTCCCCCCACCCTCCCCAACAGGCCCCTTCTCCCGTCTCTCCCGCCAGCCCTGGCACCCTTCAAGGCCGTGACACAGTCAGTGCCGCTGGGGGACGTGAGCCAGCAGAGGAAGCGCCGGTTGTGGGGGTACAGTGGGAAAGATCAGGCCCACACTCATCCCCCACCCCCAGGTGGCTTGCTCCTAGGCCAAGGCGTCCACTGTGGGATCCCGTACGGGGAGAGAAACAGCCAGAAAAAGCCAGTGGGCTCCACTCTGCACATCTATACAGGGTCATCAAAATATTCGGTGAATGCTTACTTTCTAGAGTATTACAGTAAAAGACTCTGCCGTGAGTCCCCTCAGAGTAAGTACTACCCTTGTTTCCAACAGGTTCAGTCCTTCGTTCTTGACACTTTCTGAAGCAGCTCTGCAAGTCCCTGTCCTGAGTGTGCTCACAAGATGTGATCAAAAACACAGTGACTGCCGCCGCCGGGTGTCACCCAACAGAGGCAGCTCATAGAAACACACGCCTCGTCCCACACCCCCTTACCCACCGGACCTGGCACCGTGTGATTTCCGGCTCTTCCCCACAGTCAAAATCACCACGAAAGCTCAGAAGTGTCCTGAATCAATGCAGACACTGAGGCAGCCACAACAGAGCGATGAACGACCCTCAGGAAAGAGGACTCCAGAGCTGCTGCAGAAGGCGGTGAGAACGTGGGGTGAGTGTGTTCAAAGTGAGGGGGGAGGTTTTGAGGGGGATTGGCGGTACTGTGTCTTTTTCTGCAATAAGCTTTTTAATTTAAACACTGTTTCTTGTATCAGACTGCATATATTGGGGACCTGCCAGGATCTCGGCCTTATGCAGAGATGAGGAAACGGTGGCCCCTGCTTTCCAGGAAAAATAGGAACTTGGAGTGTAGAATGAACCAGCCCTGTCTGGGTTTGAATGCAGACTTCAACCACAAGTGTTTATATAACCTTGGGCAAGTGACTCCACTCCTGGGTCTGGGTTTTCTCATCTGTGAAATAGGCATATAGCCGAATTCTTGAATAATTTTACCAGTACATAACAAACACTCTTCAATGTGTACTGACTTGTTTTTGAGACAGGGTCTTGCTATGTAATCCAGGCTGCCCTTGAACTCCAAGCAATTTTCCTGCCTCAGCCTCCCTAGTGCTGGGATTACAGGGCTGCGTCTGTATTTTAAAAAATAAATCCAGAATCCCTGCACGCCGTATAGAAGCTTCTGGAGGTGGAAAAGCATTTTCAAGACTGCAAGCCACTTGCTAAGGCCTTTGACTCTGGCGCAGGACAAACCCGCCCTCCGGGCGTCCCGGGTCCCCAGCCCCTGCCGGATGCCCGCCCGTCCCGGCTGGGCGAGTTTCCGGACCGGTCACTCAGCT